TAAAACTACTGTTCGAAATTTTTCCTGACAAAATGTTATGAACATTTTAATATTGGCTTATACACCAGGATGAAGGAAACAAAAGTATTTAATATATTTTCTTATCTGCTTGGGTCATAAATGGTATTCAGAAGGGGTATGCGGGTACCCGAAATCACGGGATTCTCGAGACTCGGGTCGGGTCGGGAGAAGTCGGGCCAAGAGCGGCCGGGATCCCGACAGATGTCGGGTCCCGTGATATATTCGGGTCCCGAATGATATTTTCGAGAACTTTTTCGTCTAACAGCAAAAAATTATACTATACAATACGATGCCATATTGAATTTTCAGGTTCATGATATGAACTATAAATGCTAAATAAGTTGACGATTCCAAATGGAATCCTGTGGTTGGACAGGGTTAATAATACAATCTTCAGTACACATTTCTTCGTACGTTATGTTTTTATTAAGTATAATAAATAAAGTGGCAGTATTAGGGACATTTAATCTATCATACAACATACAGGCATATATAATATTATTTTCAATTATAATGTAATAACCATAATTATTGCCGGACAATGTCGAGGAATTATGTTTTTTACATTATAATTTAAAATAATATTATATATTATAAATTTATATTATACTTTCACTTTCGTTGAACATCTTACAAGGGAGCATAAAGGTTGATTTCTGTTTATGTTATTTGTACTGAAATGTTTGTTATATGTACTTTGAAACCAATTAGTAAATCAAAATTTTTTATATTTTTGACATTTGGAAAAGTAAAATGTATATGAAAAGTATAAATATTGGATCCGCTACTTTATTTCTATATGCTATATATTATGCGTAATGTAAAATATTATTGTCCTGTATCAAATGTACTTTTCGCCCTGTTTTATGCATTTTGCACAATTTAACACATATTTATTATGGTTACATTTGACGTACCTGTACAGACCAGTCAAAAGTGTTCTAACATAGATTGGGCGTATGTCAATCTTACGATATTTCGAAGAAAACGTAAAAGCATGTCTAAAGTATTCATTAGAATTTATTTTAAATTCTAGTCATATTACCCTAGGCAAAAAGTATGCAACCAAACGGGTTAAAATGACCACTGGAAGAATTATTAATGTACAGTTTGGAAATTGAAAATACTGTTTGCATAATACAGTACTTAAAGAAAGTAAGTAATATACTTTCTTATTTACCGAATTTGTTTAAATAAAATAGACGATGATAAGGGTAGTCGGGAAGTTCCATCAATGTGTACGTGGCCGAACACTAATTGTAATTACTTCATAATTGACCATCCCGTATTTTTTAAGTAGACGGGATATTTATTTTCGTACCATTAATCTACTTAAATAAAGAGAACTATTTCTTTCTACTTCTCTTACTATTAACGGATCATTTGTCACGTTTATCACACGAATATTTTATTGCCATATGTAGTAGATAATTGCTCCGAAATTTTATAGAAATTATTCCCTTTCTGCATTCCCGTTCGCTAATAGGGCGTAGAAATTGTATTCATACTAATAGTCTGAGTACTCGGGACATACATAACTATAAAGATACGCTCGCTTGCCGCACTGAAACCTGTGCATAATTTCGATCGCTTATTCTCTGTTCGCTTGGAATAGCGTGCTTCAGATTTGATATTACAGCCGACAATTACCGGCAATTAAGGAATCGCTACGTGAATTACTGGAACGAAGACATGAAAAACGTAAATGATTAAGCAATGCTTCTGCAATTTACAGACATGAAATAAGAAAGTTTGAATTCGCGCGCGAAAGACGCCGGAATCGAAGGCAAGCATTTGTAATAACCACCGATGTGTTCGATAATTTGCACGAAAATAGTTTCCAGCTCTATTTCAGGTGGGCGCGTACTGCTTTCAAATAGCTGATCCAGTTTCTGATCACGCAGTGGTTAATGCGTTCATAACCACATTCCGTGAGCATTCGTTATTGACGTTCTATCGCGCTCACTGTGAACACTTCTGGCATTCATACACATTTTAGTCATGAGCTCTAACAAAATCAGCAAGGACGATATACAGAGTGAGTATCATAATATGATGATTTCAAATAACTCGTAAGTTCGTTGTACGAAAAAATGTTTCAAACAAACGTTGCATGGTTTTCAGGAGGACATACAATGCTGTAATCTGTTTTTTGTTACTTTGCTTTTTTATCGAGATATGAGGGTCATATTCAGTTTTTTAAACGGATTGCCCAACATTTTTCCTCGAGTTCGAATAAAGCACCAAATTCTGCATAAAAAAGTATTACACCAAAGAGGGTTTAAAATTAATGATTCGCAAAATAATTAGTAAAACAAGTTTTATTTTAAGCGGTGCTCGAAGTGTTGTCCATTACAGTCAATGTACTTGCGTAATCGGATTATGAGTGAATGAAGAACTTTTTCTAGGGTTTTTGCAGTTATTGCAGCACATGCACTAATAACATGTTTTCGCAAATCTTTGGCCGTCGTTCGTGGCTTGCGCGATAAACTTCATTTTTTTATGTTCCCCAAAGGAAATAATTGTGCGGAGTTAAATCTGACGAGCGAGCCGGTCAAGCATTGTTACTGCCACGTCCGATCGAAGGATTAAGAAACATCCTATTTAATATTTGCCGTGACTACTGAGTATAATCTGCTGGATAGCCGTTCTGTTGATACCGCATTATTTGACGTATTAAAACACGGTACATTTTCTAATAGGCCTGGTAGTGTTTTGGACAAAAATATGTATAATAAAATATTTTTTGTATTAATATATCCGCAATTTGTGACCGTGGCTTCGTCTGTCCATAATGCAGTCTATACAAATCTACCATTCGAACCTTCCATCTGGTGCAACAACCAATCACAGAATTGTACGCGTTTCTCAAAATCTCGTCCATGAAGCTTCTGATGTACTGACAGATGATACACATGAAAGTTATCCGAATAAAGAATACGCACAACACTGCTTTGACTAACGCCTAAATCACGCGAAATCTACCGTGTACTGATATGTGGATTATGGACAACAGTTGCTAACGTAGAAATACGACATCCTTCATCATGTACAATTTTACGCCGATTACGTTTCTGTACGTTGAAACTGCCATGTTCTTGGAGCTTTTTACTAAGCCTTAAAAAGGTAACATGTGATGGCCGATTTCGATCCGGATACTTACATAGTTTGGCATAATATTTCAGCTCTCATCATTGTCTTCACACGCACCATAAACAATTATCATATCGCACTTTTCTCTGTTTCTGAACATCTTACTTTTACGTTTACTGAGCTACTAAACAGCTACTAAACTCAGCTACATCTCATATTGATGATGGCTAACATGTAACAAAGAACGTGTTTACAAACATGACTTGTCATCGTAAACGAAGCTGTGTTCTCACGTTGACTGAGCATTATGAAGTATTTCCTAATAGAAGATTATTAATTTGAGAATATCTCAGTAATTATTGATTTTAAGCCCTTTATGGTATGATACTTTTTTACGCCGTATTATTGTACATTCTATTTAAAAAACTGAAGGTAAGCCTCATATTTCGATAAAAAGGCGAAATAACAAAAAACAGATTACAGCACTGTACGTCCCCCTGGAAACCATTCAACATTTGTCCGATCAAATTTTTCTGTAGAACAAATAATTTACGAGTTATTTGAAATCGTCACGTTACAGGATTCACCCTGTATACATAGATTGTTCTATAATTTTTGACGTACAACCCTGTTAGAAAGAGCAGAAAAATTTCCTTTTCACCTTGTTGAATAGTACTACACTTTTCAGGTATACACTCTAAGCCGTGTAACTAACGCGTTAATTTTTGTGAGAAATCAGAGTTGAAACGTTGTGCCATGACGTCTCTCACAAGACGTGTGAAGAAAAACAACAAAACTTTTAAAGGGATATACATAATTCACTATATTGCCTGAAATACGAATGAATTCCATTTAAAAAATGATCAGCAACCTTTTAATCTCGAGACATCTTCACCTAAAAGAAAATCAAGGTTCTTGTACAAGGACTATGTCTTCTGGGAAACTTATTTCTTTCAAATTAATCACTTTTTGCAGACTTTCAAAGTATTAATGACATTTGCCTCAATCACATTTTTTCATTCGAGGAAATTGAAAGAATGGTTTCGTTTATTATCGGGAACATCGCTAAGCAATAGTTGTTATGCGTTTACAGAATATGCAAGCGAAAGTATTATATTTATGTTCGCAAAGCTCTTAAGTCACGAAATAAATTCTTCTCTGGTTCTAACTTTTGCAACAAAATACTTACAAATGGTGCTTGCACGAGAATTCGCAGTCTATGTATAAAAAGTTTCATAAAAAAATCCAATGTTTTCATAAGGAATATGTATGCAGATTTATTACGTACTATAGGTACCAACAGAATTGCCCCTTTTCATTTATTACACTTACCAGAATCAACACACCTAAACTTTCAGTAAGCAATGCATGCATGGCAATATTTTTTGAAATGATATTAATCTATAAAATACACGACGGGATTGCGTAAAAGGCACCTGTTTGCGTATTTCTTCATCGGAGCATGTAATGTATTCATCTTGTACTCCAACAAGTGGGATACTATATGCTAACGTCCTTGCGTTTGTCTGTTATTCAGGAAGCATACGTAACTAGTTCCTAGTTATAACCTAACCAACGATCTATTAACGTTTCCTGATGAGCTACTGAACTGTAAAACACATTGGGCGGTCTGCTTAATAACCAAGTCAAGGTGAACTGTGCTTCCGAGCCGTACCAACAGGGAAAGTGGCCGGTCTTGGTGGTAGTAGAGCCACTGTCAAGAATGCTTCTGCACAGCTCCGTGAAACAGTGTACCTTGAAACGTGAACTCGATCGAAGCCACGTTTCAACAAGTCCGCGAGTTTCCATTTATTCGTATCGCCGTTACACGTTTATCTTATGTCGCGACGAAAATTCAAATTGTTCACTTATTTCTAACCGTATACATGGTGCTGTTCCTAAGTTTAATTCTTGTATTTGGCTCCCTACACTGTGCCAATGGAGGGGGACTCGAAGTCGTTTTCCAGTGGAAATACTTGGACTGGGCCTGGCCGAATATTCCCTTAACGGGGAAAAACTTCACGCTGGGCAATGCCTTCACGCAAGATGTAGACATTGATAGGTACGGCCGTGTATTTGTCACGAGTCCACAATGGTTGGAAGGTGTACCGATCACACTATCCTTGGTGACAACTTCTTCGGGACATGGTGGCCCTTTACTGATTCCATATCCCGACTGGACCTGGTTCAAACCCTTCAACTGCGACAACCTAATATCTGTTTATAGATTGGCGGTAAATATCATGATAATAAGTGTGTACGCTACTGGAAGATCTCTAGAGTCCTATTACTGAAATTTTAAGAGGTTAGGTACTACTTGTCGAAATTGTTCAGTGATTAGTTGTTGTTCGATACAGTTGTTACTGTTGAAGCATTGGAGAGTCAGTGTATTCTTAAGTGTCAGTGGTGTTATTTGGTCCCCGGTAAGGCAACATCCAGTGCTACCGAAACGTTGAAGTACTTTTTTTAAAAGGACGTCAGGATTTCAACCGAAGACTTTCACAGTAACAACTGTATACCGTTAGGTGATGAGAGTCTTAAATCTAAATGTTTGAATATTCACGATCATAGTACAAATAAAACAATATTTAAATATCGTTTGTTATATTTGATGATTATTCTGGGCATATTTATTTATAAAATGGTGTATCAGTTGTTATGATACTACGTGTATTTTAAATCAATTCGCATCGTTAGATATTATTTCATTTCAATTTCATGATTAAGTAAATGCTACAAATACATGGAATCTTGCAAAAATTCTCGAATAAATTTTATTTTATAACAAAATCAGGTGTTTGACAGCTACTTGGCAGCTGTCAAATATAATATCAATTGTTTTGGTTAACTAGTTTTCTGTGAAGTAGTGATCGCATTTCTTAGTACATACTAATATGGAACTGAATACTAAAATCTATTGATTAATGTTTAGATATTTACTGTTTTTACAGTTTCTATTACTACAGCCGATTATATTTTATCGTGAAGGGAAATTGGAAGTATATTTTGCTTTTCTCCGTAACCTGTCAAAAAGTGATACAGATTTAAAAGACATTTTCTAAGAATATTCCTAACAGTATGAATATAATTAACATATTATCGAATCAGTTTGTGCAAGATTTCATAAAAAGTAACCTAATGTGTAGAAAACCTATACAACAGTCTACATATTAATGTTTGCACAAAATTATATTAAGTGTACTAAAAAAATCGATTGTTCAGATAGACGAATGCAATCGTTTGTGGGTCGTGGATACTGGCCGCATCGGTGGAAATGCCGTTTGTCCTGTGAAAATACTGATTTTCGATCTTGCAACCGATCAATTGGTTCATAAATACGTAGTTCCGGATGATCAAGCATTGTACGGGAAGGCAGCATTCGTTACACCGATCGTCGATGTCGGAAAAACATGTCTCGATACTTATCTATACGTAGCGGACGTGGATCAAAATGGGTTACTGATTTATGACTTATATCACGATCATTCATGGCGGGTAAACAATACTCGCGGCAACGCTTTCGGTCCGGACGACGATGCCATGAATATCACGATCGCTGGCGAATCATTTGATTTAACTGACGGTACTCTGGGAATGTCATTGTCGCCGTATGGATTTTATAATGAAAGGTACATAGTTCATTATAAAATACTTCGAATAGTCTGTATAGATATGTAAATAGTATTAACAAAAAAGGAAATTAATTTCTGAACCTTGACATAACCCTTTTGAGACGGACTTTGTTTAACGCTGAACTTAAGAATATAGTAGTACGGGTTATAATACACTCACATATGAAGAAAGGACAGATTAAGCATAGTTTTGGAAATGGGTTATACGGCGTGTTTCCGTAATAGTGGTACAACCCAAAAGAATGTAATTCTACATACAGAAATAAGTCGAAAATGTAGAACAACATCTTCAGGTACGATGCTGCATTTTCGAGAAAATCGGATTTGAAAATCTGCTGGATACGCGTGTAATTGAAATAGTACTTGGCTTACTCGTCTGTTCATTGCATTCTGTTTCTACTTATTGCAACTACGTATACATATGTGTGAGATGAATTTTAAAAATTAATTATTGGAAACGAAGTATCGTGTGAAAAACTGTTATTCTACGTTTTTAACTTATTTTTATATGTAGAATCACATCCTTTCGGGTTGTACCACCATTTGGGAAACATCTTGCATAGTCCCATTAATCCTTTTTACAATCATGTATCCCACTAGGTTTCAATGGTGTCAGAAAAATGTACAACAACTAGGAAATAAGTATATTTATTGAAATGTCTTACAAAATAGTTTACAAAGTCAAATGGTTGATCGAATAAGTTATGTAATTAATTATAATATTACGAATGATAAAGTGTAAAACTTTTAATATAAAGTCCAACTGTACAGTTTGTACATACAGTTCTAGTCAGTTTTTCCACTTTGGCTACTAAACATTTAATACATATTTTTCTTTATAAATTTTATTTGTGCCGGTAAACAATCGAATTTATGAGAATATATCCTACCAAACATTGTAAAAGTTACGTTGGGACGTATTGTCCCGTCAGTCTCGAAAGGGTTAACACTTTTTAATTTATAGTAAAATTGTCACAATAACCGATCATGAAAATTTATTTTTGAAACATTATAATATTTCAAAGTTAATGGGACAGAATCGTAGCATAATTTATTTCGTCCTCCCATAATTTATGCGATTTTTTCTAATCATCGAATTTTAAGACAATATAACTTCACACAATTATCGCACATTTGTTCGCTGTAACACTCTAAGCATGAATATTTAACGAACGCTGTGTATTAAGACTGAGTGAGAATCTAATAGATACATGCCTCAGTTATGACAAACATTTTGGCAGTTGGTGTTATGTGGATTGAACGAAGAAAATAACAGAACTGTATCAGTGGAAAAATATTCCAAGTGTGTAGAAGAATTGTTGGTATAATTTTCATTTCTTATTTATTTCCCTATATATTTTCAATCTATTACATTGTAACAATAAGTAAATTATCTACCAACGTTGTTGTGAATATAATGTAATTAACAATCATAATAGACCAGTGGCTCAGATCCGCTTCAATTCTTAAAGTCTTCATTACGTAGCTGTCCTCTGCACCAACAAGGTTTTTTTAAAATCTGTCTTTATTATCTAAAATAATAATGCTTGCGTGTATCATTATATTCTGGTAATAGTCTTTTTGCATGAGTGTTAAAATGATTTATCAATGTCTTTGAGTATTTTTGAATATATCTTACAATGTCTTCTTTGACTGAAAGAATTTCTATTTTAATTTCTAGAAATTCTATCTTCTGATTTGTATATTAGAATTAATAGCTGAGTCTATAATTGTGTTTCGTATGTCCATTTTGGTTTTAAGATGCATTTGTAAAATATTAATTTAGAGTTCAGTAATAACTTTGACTTGGATCCTAATAACTAGTACCTCCGTTTATTTGACTTGTTCGGACCAATTTCGATCTTCTTCTGTCTTTGGTGTGTACATAAAATGAGTTGACGTTTCCTTATTGACTTCAATTCCTCATTTCGTTAGCTAATTTTGAACGGTACTAAGTGTTTGAAAATTATTGCTAGATTTGTGTATGAGGTTATAATTGTGGTATCATTTGCAAAGATTGCCACAATAGTGTTTTGAATATTCGTAAGTCAGCCGTATTCAGAGTGTAAACAATCAGGGCCGTTCCTGGCGCGGGTGTAGAAGGTACCTTCGGACCTGGGTGGCCAAACTCAGGGGCGGCCGCAGATCGTTTATTATATAGTAAAACTTGGAATAGTAAGAATAAGAATCATAAGCTATCTGACGATTATGCAAATTTTAGACCAACAGAATTTAATCAAATTAATTGTACATGTACTCTTTGTAACACTACTCGTATACAAAAAGGAACTATCTTTATGGACAGCCCAAAATGGCATATGATATTTAACCATATTTAGTGGATTAAATTCGTATAGGTAATTAATGGTCGCTGTTTATCAACCATAACATCATTATTACAAACATTATGCGTTAGTTTCGTACTTGTATATGGAATAGAATATTCATATTAAATAAAACCATTCATTTTCTAAGGATCTTTGTTTCATTTTATGAAAATAAAAATTAAAAAATATTTTTTATTTTCAGAAAATGAAACAAAGATCCTTGCAAAATGAATGGTTTTATTTAACATGGCATTAATTTAAATAAACACTGTATATTAAATTCTTAATTGAATAATATTAAATTAATAAGGACATCGATACTGTTTTCGCACCTGGGCGGCCAACAACCCAGGTACGGCCCTGTAAACAATAGTACTTTGTTAGTGCTAAAGACAGTTTGAAACTTTCAAATGCAGAAGGCTTGTAGAGCTAACTAAGACTTTCATTGGTATTGTTGAAAAAAATTCTAGAATAATTATTATATAATTGGCTCGTGAGTTGAAAATATTGTTCACTAATTACTATTAAAAACTGCATTTTTTCTCATCCAACATATAGGTAGATGTATCGAAAGAATCGTATTATTTATGGGATGACCCAATATTTTTATTTCTGCCATACACTGTTTTGTTTTTTAAGAAATGAATTAGTGACACTAAGTGATTTTCAGGTATTTGTACTTCAACTCTTTGGCTAGTTTTCTTCAAAAATTTACAAATGTGACTTCTTTAAAGTTAAGTCAATACAACGAACCAATAATATATGAATCCAACTACAAACGAGCAAGCCAGGCAGGTGTTCAAGCAACTTCTCGGAAAGGTGTAATATTTTTCCAACTAGTTCAACTAACCGCCATCGCCTGCTGGAACATTGAGAAACCATTCGCACCTGAGAACATAGTGATAATTGCTCAAGACGTGGCAACGCTGCAATACGTCAGTGGTATCAAAGTAATCACGAATAACCGCGGTGAAGAAGAATTGTGGTTTAACACAAATAGATTACAAAAGACGATAAATATGACACTTAAACCTAGTGAAACGAATTTCCGTATAATCAGAGGACGAGTAGATGATATTATTAGGGGTACAAATTGTGAACCCACTGGAATGAGAAATGTCAGTCCGGATACTACATTCTGGCATAAGATATAAATTAAATATGGCGTATATCTTAATCAAGTACACCTCAAGAGTTCCTCCGTCTACTGCTTCACGCAGCCCACAAAAATCTGTGAACGCCGAAAATCAGTACCTTTGGTGCGTAAAAAGTCTAATAATCGAGCAAGAATTTATTATTAATAGCGAACCTCAATAATTTATTTCCTTCACTTGTACACGTTATTGTAAGGAACTGTTTGTAATTGTTTTTACGTCATTTACGATAAAATAATACACACCGTACAAAAGCTTATATATAATACAATATTCCTCATTTTTGAGTCACGTAAATAAGTTTTTTCCTATAAAATGAACTAGTTAATATAAATGTTAGAAACTTGACACATGATTTTAATCAGATTGTAGGAAAAATATACAGTAATATTTCTGTGGTTATAATATGTATCCGCTATTTGTTTCAGTTTGTAAAAAAGATACACTTCTATGGCTCCCACAATTCGCATTGTTGAATTTATTTAAGAGTAATAAATCAAAGTATAGAAATAAAAATTCAATTTTTCAGTTAATTTTATCAGGTTCTGTATAGATTCTACGATTTGAAGATTATTACAAGGCAAAATATCAGCCATGACCTTTCCAGTTTAAGTAACGGTGTTTGAAGTTAATTCATTAATTAATTTTTGCGATGTCGTAGAGATCCTTTTTGTAGATTATATTCTACTCTTCTATATGTTTTGACCCGCCAAACTGGAATAACCCCTTGAAACGCAGTTTTATCCGCCTCGGTTAACCACCGACCGTTTTCGACAGAGAGAACAAATAACCGCATTAACGTCTTCGATTACTTTTTTCATTTTGCGAAAAACCGTACCGTAATCGAACGTGGAGAATTGTTCGTATGTCGCCGAGGGAATAAGCCGCGAGAGTAGAAAAAGGGGACTTCTGTCAGTGACAGTCAGCGTGCAGCAATTTAGTTAACCGTTTCATTGCTGCGTTTTGAGATGTAACGACGAGGCCTGGCCATGACAGAGGCGTTACGGGGAATCCAAATGTTTCGATGGCGTAGGCCGCCAAGCACGGGGACAACGGAGACTAGAGAGGTGTCGCGAATGGCATCGTTACTAGGTTCTCCTGGACATCGAAATCGGTATGCCGGCCTTTTCTTGCCAGCAATTTCAGGTAGTTGTATCAGCCTTTTGTGTGCCACAAGGTCGAAGCCAGGGGTTGAGGGCAGTCCAAGGGAGGAGGCTGGTTGAGATAAATGCGCATTCACGAGGAATTGTTCGTGTTACTGCCGCGGCACTCTTGGGATACCAATAGAGCGCGCAATGCTGGGAAATTCGTGTCACCTACTTCTCTTTCTACAGCGTAGTTCGGCGTGTGACTAATGGCGGCATATTCATGGCACAGCTTCGCCTCTCTAGCGTCCCTCAACACTACCCCCGATTCCACATCCTTTACGAAGCTCTGGCAGTTAACCTCAGACAACCCCTTCGTCGCGATAATATACGGCTGCCCTTAAATTTTCGTTCCCCTTCGCTGAATTCTGCCCTACCCCGCCCCGCCCCTTCTCCGCCAACACCTACCACCAAACTCTGGCATCAGCCTACACTCGCGCGTATGGTAGAAAACCCCTCACTTCGTGGTTCGTTTCACCCTGATAACCGATCTGATCCGCGGTTATTCCATTAAAAAGAAAGATGAGTCAAATAGAAGTTTATTCACGGTTAGCGTGGTTAATAAGTACGGGCGTAAAGAGGCAACGGATAACAGTGCCTATAAAACCACGCGGTACCTACGCCGTTCGATATTCTTTTTACGCGATTTCGTAAAGTAGAGACGACTGAGTTATAGCGCCGTTCAATATACTATCGTCATATCAAGGGTATTATAAAATATTGTGACTCGAGTGGAGGGAGGCCGTGTAAGGGTATAACGTTTGACCGCAAACGATCCATGCAGGAGCACGTTTTCACGATCGAACTCGTTACCTTAAAAGCACGACGTGGAATTACTTAAAAGGTGATAGGCCCGAACAGTAATCTCCTTGTCGTGGACGAATCTATGGTGCGCGAAGAAAAGGTCTGAAATCGTTTTACGAGGGGTACTTTTAAAACAATTGTACAAGAACATCGGGGAATTCTGAAGTAAATTTGTATCAGTTTTACTGCCCCTAATATACATAACTACCAGTGTTTGCCACTGATACACGCTGGTGCACAAACCGACCACTCGACTCGGTGTATCCTCCTTTACCGGTGGTTAGTGTCCGGGATGCAATACAGAACCGACGAGGATAGAAAGCATGCATATATTGAATATCTTAATAAGGAACACGGCAAATTAATGTCCTCTTATTTCATTCACACGCAACTATAAGAAAGTTCTTTACGTAACACCCGAGCGCAGACGATCACGCGTCGTTATATAAACATTCTATTACGTGCAGTTGAACAATTCCCCGAAGCAAGACCCACTTTCCGCTAAAGAATGTTTCTCAATTATGGGAAAACTGAAAGAGGGACAAAGCGGGGTCATTTTACGTATTCAGTTCCCGGGAAATTAAATTTTAAAATTTAATCGCGAAATTAACCGTAGACTAACGCGTATTTCATAGTCGCGGCTCTTCTAGAAGCCACGGTAAATTACTTTGTTTTTCTCCTAATTCTACCGCTCTGCGTGTTTCGAATGAACAGGCTGCCACCCGAGGTGATGGCGGACCGACGAGCCGTGACTGCGCTCGCGCGAACGCGCGCAGCATCCCTCTAAACGAATTCACGTAGGCATCCGTTTGCGATTCGAAGGAACTTCGAGTTCCTGCGGCGATGGAACGTCGGGAGAATTTCGGGCATCTCCCCTGTCTTTATTAAAGCAGCTCATCTATAATTTACCGAGTGGCCTAGACAGGCTGACAGTGCCGGACTCACCGGCCGCATAAACACATAGCATCCCGTGCAGATGCTCGTGTACGCTAGTGTGTGGCATGCATTGCCGTTGTCAGCTCTAGTCAACGTGTAATTTACTATCCTGCCGCGGCTCAATGCAGCTGCACCCGTTGCTCGGAACCTGGACCTCCAAGTACCGTTGCCCTGGCAGAACGTCGGCGCTAACGGCCACGGGGACGTGTACATCGGGTGCACTGCTGTTGCTGTATTGCCGTTGTTGCTGTCGCTAGTTGCGGATCAAAGTGAGGGGTAATGCCCGGCAAGGTACCATTGACCACTTGGAACCAGGCCACCGAAAGGTCCCCCATAAACTAACTGTTACATCCTGACTACTGCTTCGCCATTAGTTCACCGAGATGTTTACAGAAGCCGCTCTGGATATCACGGGAGTCTGACTGACATCACGAAGGAATGTTTCCATCAATCTTACCACTGGTTCCTGATCTCACCGCGGTCCTCTTTACAGGGTGGCGCAAAAGTTCGGAGACTTTTTTCTAATACTTCAGAAGTATATAACTGTTGTATAAATTAAAATTCAATACCTTTAACAGGTTAATAACTTTTATTAAATAAGTAATAACAACATTAAGCAATTAAATTTAGAATAGATGTTCAAAATTGGCTCCTTTGGTCTCAATGCATTTCCGAAGCCGTTTTCGGAAATTGCCGACGATGGCCGTACACTGTTCCACGGTAATTTCGTCCCACGCGCGCCTCAAAGCCACCTTCAAGTCATTTGCACGATTTGTATCGGGTTCGGGAAATCTTTTGCTCTAAAATGGACCACACGAAACAGTCCACCGGATTCAAGCCCGGGGAATTTGAAAGCCAATCTTCTTTCCCCGAAAATCCAGAAAACAACTCCTCGCACGTTGCAATCATTTATTGTGCTGAATGAACCGGGGCCTAGTCTTGCTGCAACGTGAATCCGTTTTCAAATGTTCAGTCGGCCACGGCTCCCAAACGTCCCGAAGAACAATCTGCTGATAGATGATGGCGTTGATTTTGACATCCCTTTCGATAAATAACAGTGGCGTTTTTCCAGACTTCTTCTGGCCTTTTTGAGCAAATGCTGGCGATTTTGACGGTTGTGCACACCCTCGATATTGAAAATCTTCACGTCAGTAAAAACAACTTTTTGGAGGCGACCACCGGCGATCACACGAAGTTTTTTTTCGTATCATCATTGAGGAAGTGTGCCCGATCAATTTTATAACTGCGCAACTTCAGCTTGTTCTGAACAATCCTGCGAACGCTGTCTTTGCCGATCTCGATAATTTTTTCTATTTTCCGCATTGAACGTCCCGGATTGCGACGCATCTGCACCCAACCTTGTTCAAATTGTTCCGTGTTGTTGCGGTGGTAGGATGACCACACCTAGGACGATCCGATGTTCCTCCCAACTCCTGGAAACGTTTCACTGCCTTCTAGACAGTAGATTTCTTGATGCCAGTCGTTTTAACTATCTCAGCAGTCTTCATTCCCGATTTGTGGAACTCGATGATACTAACGCGCTTGTTATTTCGATCCATTTTAAAGGTAACCAAATATAAACAAACAATTGAAAGGCACTTTGTAACCTAAAATTGTATCATGAATTCAGAAAAACGAAGAAAATTCAAGATAAGTCAATAAAAGGAGAAAAAAGTATTTTAAAAATGTCTCCGAACTTTTGCGCCACCCTGTATATCTGTACCGCGTACTTAAAGTTACCTGCGTCTAGTTAATAGACCAGGAAGTGAACTATAACGAGATTACAGGCTGTAGCGAAGTATTGGCGTAACCATTTACCAGATAACGAAATTGCAGTACACATTTATACACCGTGGTACATTAAGAGTGTTACATAATCCATCGTCTAATATTAATAATATAGTTGTCCATAAAAGAACTGTTCTCTGACCTACTTTTTGTCTGGTATCCTGATTCAGTTTGTCCTGAAGACATGCATCGGTCACTACAAACAGGAAGACCTTAAAAATATATTTATTCAAAGTATGTACGGTATCATTGAAACACAATACATTACAAAGTTTCTTCCTCTTTATATCATGAAAAACGATACAGTCTGATTTAACATGTTCACGATGGCAGTTAATTTTACGAGAAGCTCACTATTGACGGCGTTTGGTTATTTATCATTAATACTCAATTTTTCAGTTTCTAACGCTTTCGCCTATAAAATATACCAACGTGTATTTTCCCAGAAAACGATAAAACAATCTCGTGACCAATTG